AGGCTGCCCAGGGAGGTTGTGGAGTCTCCTTCCCTGGAGACATTCAAAGCCCGCCTGGACACATTCCTGTGTAACATTATCTAGGTGTTCCTGCTCCAGCAGGGGGATTGGACTAGATGATCTTTTGAGGTCCCTTCCAATCTCTAGCATACTGTGATACTGTGTGATACTGCTGAACCCAGGACAGTCCTAGAGTATTCAAAACATCTGGATGTAACTAGCAGACACAGCGCAAGACCCAGGGGAAATCCACACATTTCTGGGATAAAAGTTGGAGGCCAAACATTTCCACCTAGGGCTCACAAAACACCTATACTGAGACAACTCAATGTCATACAAGGAGCCTTGAAGAGAATATGTGGCTCTTCATGGAGAGACATAAGGTTTGGTCTTGTCTGCAAGTTACGTCTTGATCTGAAGATAGCTCTTTATTGGACTACACATGAGACACATGCATCTGGACTAGGAAGCCAAAGGCAGCAGCAGCAGCATCCCTTGTTTGCTGCTGGCAGCAGGAACAGCAGTGCCTTTGTCTTCCATGAGCACACGTACACATTTTACATGTATTGGTGATTTTTGTTTTAACCTGCATTGGCCATAAAGTCAAATCTAAAGAGAAAAAGTTTGGAAGTTGGAACTGAATGATTGTATTAGAGTGGGCGAGAAGGAATTGAAGAGTAAAAGTGACCTTCTTACTGACAATCCAAGAAATTGCCATATTTACTCAGCTCAGCAGAGCAAATGATGGCAAAAACCAGACCAGATCCTCCACTAGAGCATAACAGCATCACACCACTGACTGCAATATACTTTAACATAATACCCATGTAGCTGGACTCTAATGGATTGCAGCCACATTATACCACTAAGGATCTTTATCCGGAGGGAAAGACTAAAACACTGACCAACTTCACAGTCTCAGTTTCATTTTATCCTGATTTTGCTCCAGTGTAAATGTCTTCAAACATACAAAACTGCTGAGAACAAGTACAGTATATTTTGCAATACAGTATTAATAGACTTACCCGATCTCTCAGACATTAAGTCAGGTGTGTTATACGGATAAATATGCTGACCCTATAGTGACACCAGTAATACATGTGAGATAACAAATGCTGCATGCTGGGTTTGAAAAATAGCTGGAAAGGCAGAGGGAAATCACTGTGTGAGGGAGGTGATGCAAGGCCAACTGTCTCTGGGTAATACCCCACTAGACAATGACAGACTAAGGAGGTACTTTTTAAAAGAGACCCTCCTCCTCTCCCCAGTCACAACACCTGGTAAACAGGAATTACAAGCGCTGGTGACTTCTCTGTTTTGCTTTCATGTATAGCACCTTCCCTCCAAAATGGGGTCTGGTCAAATTCTTACCTTATTTTGTGTATGAGGGTGCATGGAACAATTTTCTGTGGTCCTTATGAAACATTCCATTAGCCCTAGTATGGAATCTTTTGCACTGACTTAAAACTTTGTTTAGTCTTTGAGTTGGGTCAATTTTTCAACAAAAACCTAAACTGAAAATCTCCAAATTCTTCTTTTAAAACATTTCAGCTTTTCTATATGCTAACCAGTTTCTGGCCTAAACTATTCTCTGAATTCAACCTGAAACTGGAAGTAGTTTGATCTCCTCAATAAACAATTGTGAATTTACTATTCATCAAGAAAAATTATCACTTGAATTTTGTTACCAAGAAACCTAAGGGAGAGGAATGACACAGCAGTCATAGGAATTGCATGCTGTGGGATTGAAAAGAAAGAGATTTATAAAAAAATATTGTTAACAAACACTAGTCCCCCTGGCATCAAGAAATAAAAAGGGGGAACAAAAGCCACCCACAAATTAGGTACAAGGTAGCCATCATCTCAGATTACAGCAAGAAAACTAGTTCATACTAAATAACAGGAGGACTTGCTAGGAAAATTAGAAGGTATATAACACAAAGAATGGATGTGAGATAATAGCATCACACCAAGAATTACATTCATTTAATTTGCATGAAATCCTGAAAGATCCCAGCCTAGCCTTGCTGGGATAGATTTTTATACTGATGGTCAGCAGATAGTGATATTGCCAAGGGTAAGGCTGCAAAAAAAAGGAATCAGTTGTAATTCATGCTGCTTCTTCATCCTGAGAAACATAACCAGTAGGTTAATAACTCAAATTTTACCTGTGTAGAGTCTGAGTTTTCCCATTCTTTTTTGATAGTGCCAATGACAGCAGAAGTTCATTTCTTGAAGTCAAGTACTTTGTGTAAGCAGCTAAATATTTAGAGGTGTTTGGAGCTTATGAAATGTGAGGATGCTCAGTGTGTGGATGGAAAGGCTGCCAGGACATCTTATTCCACAGTATTTTGTTATACCAGATGCTGGCAAAGCAGAGGCAAAGCAGTGTGGCAACGAATGCGCATTGTTTTGCTGCAGATTTGGCCTGTTCTTCATTCACTGAAACCCCCACAAATTCCTGGGGTTTAACACTGTGTTCTTGCCCTGAATTTTTCTTTTTGCTGTTGAAACACCTCATTTGTCTGTGTTGGGTGTTCTCAGTTGGCCAACTCTTGCAAGGAAACGTGACTGGCACAGTCCCTGATGGATGAGGCTGCCTGCACCACGTAGCCAAGCTGCGGGGCTGAGGGGCAGAGGGACAGTCTGCAACGCAACGTGGTCGCAACACTGGGAGAGGTTCTCCACGATCCGCTGCTGTGGCAGGCTAAAGGGCAGCTTTTATTCCTTCCTTCCCCACCAGATGGGAAGGGACACTGCTGGCCCTACAGGAGGTGATGGTGAGGGGAGGTCTCTGTGCCACCTCAGGCCTGTGCTCTGCCAGGGACCTCTCTGGGGAGAAGGGGCCATAAGGATACATGTCCTTGGGGTGAAACAGCACTTCACCGGCTTCAGGATCCACAGGGAGCCTCACACTTTCCTGACACTATGGGCCTGCAGGTCACTATGTCCTCCTGGTAGAGCCCATGAGAGCCTTACAGAAGAGAGAGGGTGCCTGCCACTAAGGCCCAGTGAGGTGATGGGAAAGCAGGAGTGACCCGCAGGTACAGCTCAGAGGACAGTCTTCAAACCCAGCCCCTGCCTCAGCCTGAGGAAAGCACCGAGAGGCACTGACTGAACCCCACATCCCCGGAGGGGGGAGGTTTGTTCTGTCTCACAGAGCATGGATCACCTGCCAGGGCTGCTTCACCTCTGGAGAAGTTGTCTTGCAGCTCATTGTAGCGCTGTCATCAACATCACCTGAGGGGCTGGAAGTCTTTCCTGAGGCAGCTGAGCCAGGCCAGGGCCTGCCTTAGGGCAGCAGGGCCCGCCTGATAACCGAGCAGGATCAAGCAGGTTACCATTTACCACAGATCTGCCCAGCAGCACAGCCATGATTTATACAGATAAAATAGGAACAGAAGTGCTCCTCTGACTGTGCCTTATGTGCTCACAGGGCCAGGACACTTCAGCGAGGTGAAGGAAGGGCTGCAGTGACGTCTTCACCAACCTGAGCCTGGTGCAAGCAGCCAATGTGCCGGCTCCAGTCTGATTAGCGCTTCCCCAGCCCAGATGGTGTGCAGGAGAGCAGATGCTCTGTGATCCCTTGAGCTCCCAGACAGGGTCACCTCTTCTATGTGCTTCTGGGTCTGGGGGAAAAGGTGACCCCAACTGGGGCCTGTTTTACCATTGGCAGCAGACCAGCGACTGCTCTCTGGATGTGCTCTGCTGACTCAAGTTTCAAGCAAAGCAGTAATAATTTGCTTTGCCTCCTGATGATCAGTCTTGTTACATATGCTACTCTCCTCTTCACTACCATGAGCCATGTTTTATACCATGAGGGCCAAAATCCTTTTCTACCCCTTTTCTGACTGTGTACATACACATCTAACCAACTAAACATGATTTTGCAGAGCTAGGAGTGAAGAAGAGGAAAGGGAGACGAGATAGGCCCTCCATGCATGCCACTGTACTCCAGCTTGTCTTTCTTGGGCTGGAACTCACAGAACAGAAACTACAAAAGACATCGAGAGTGCTCTAATTTCATCCCTAAGTCAAATTGCAGAAAGATCTCTTCTTCCGCCATGCCAGAGAATCATTTATCCAAAGTGATGTTAGAAGCCTCTGAGTGTTAGGAGATGTTTCCCTATGCCCAAATTCACTTGCAGGAATGACACGTTAGACCTTTTTGCAATTCACAGGACTTGTGGAGAAGAGTTTAACTCTTTTATTTTTATAGGTTCCAATAAAATACTGGTCATGTCTGTGTGATCAGCCATCAGAGTGTCTTGGGTACATAGACCCAAGCCACATGACAGGCTGGCTGTCCAGCATGGACAGACATACCCAAACCTCTCTCAGTGGCAGCTCCTGCTGCTGCAACAACTCAACAGTAGCAAATACAGAGCAAGTGTTACCTAGAACCCCCAGATACATATGGCTTGCTCTATATGTGTTATGAAAAATGTCAGAATTCAATGCCATGGAAGACAGTCTGCATTATGCATTATCCAAAAGTCTACAGATTAATATCATCCTCTCTGTCTATATAAAAATATGCAACTGTACATATTCCTCAAGACAAAGCTCTTTATCTTCATCGTAGTAGAGCTGTTGTGATATAATAAGGTTTTTTTAATTTTATGAATACTGAATGTAACCCCTTTACAAATCTTGGATATGTGTAGCATGATACCAAAAACTCCAGTGATTTATGCACCCTCATTGTGCAGTCATTTTTAAAATAGGTTTTAAATTGAATACAAACACTTTATCCATATGATGGACGTACACATATTATGGCTATCATCTTTTTTGCTAAAGGCTTGTGGCTGAGAAAAATCACAGAAAGCTTTGGTAACTAGAAACATGCTTAATAAATGCAAGGTTTTTTAATTTAAGGATGTATTTTAATTTAAGGATGTTTATAAAAGCAGTCTGTATTTATGTAGATATAGCTTTCGAATATCTGGTTTTGTTACAAAATAATAGAAAATTCTCTTACATAAAAAGGCAGTTACCTGCAAGAAGAGGTTTCTGTTAACCTACATAGAAAACAGAAGGTCTAAGGCCATACTTCTGTGATAGATCATCAGCTTCAGTACAGTGCTCCTTGTCTGCTCTCATGTCACCCTGTAGTGGGAGAAGAAAGGCAGTGATATTTTCTTGACCTACTCAAAGGGTGTATTGAGACGGTGTGTATTGGTGAGCAGGTCCGTGGAGGACTGTATGAAAGTGTCCCAACAGAAGTACATTGTTTGATGGAAATGGAAAGTTACTGTAAGAGCATTTGTAGAAGCCTTCATGTCCCACATGCCAAGGAATAATCTGCTGTAAATTAAAAGAAAAGTGTATTTATTGCCTGGAAATTTATGAACCATTAAAAATTAAAGTTGACCAGCCACTTTCATTTTGTTCCTTATTTTGGCTACCTCTAAACTCAAGAACCCCTAATCTTTCTTTTAATACTGCAACTCATCGGCCTGTGAAATATTTAGACTGAATTTTCTGTGAATGTCAGCGGCATATTTTTTCTTGAACCATGAGTACATATAAACATTTCAGTGCCGTGGCTTGAGTTAGCAGTTAGAAGTATGGTTTGAGAAAACCTCTTAAAATACTTAAATACAATGCTGAAATAGCTTCTAGAGAGCTTTTGAAATGACTTTTCACTTGTGTTTTGATGAAGCTCAGCTAAAAGTTAGGACTCCTGCATAGCCCAATGCCTTTGTTCTGTGTAGGTGAGAGTGCAAAAAGATGCAAAGTTTGTTCCCAGGGGCTGAAATCCTTAGAAGTCCTAATGGCCCATATAAGCCCTCTAAAAATGGCTTGAAATGGGTTTGAATAGCACATATGTCTCTTTCTGGCTGATGGGAAAGTAGTACACATCACTGAAAATTAAATTCAACTATGCAGTTTTGAAGGATTATAAATACCAGCAGCAGAAACCCCATTCTAAGCCTGCAGATCTCATTTGCCTGTTTAAGGTTCCACTTTCCTTTTTTCCCATGGGTGCATTTTGCTCAGAAAAGGAATTGTGGGTAACTAGAAATACTGGCTTCAGAAGTTCAGATTTAAGACCTGAACCCATGCACACAGAGAGTCATACTATTATTTGACAGATAGTATTACAGATTAAATTTTGTGAATACTTGTACTTCCAAGAATGCTTGGTAAAAATTACATGTGTGTGAGTAACACTGAATGTCACATCAGGGGAAAACTTACATGCAATTTGCAGTGAAGCAAGGTCATACTAGTCAGTTAATCACTTCCCTCTAATCACTACTGTCATGGTCTGTACCATTTCAGATAACCTTTCAGTATTGTAACAGTCACAGCGCTGGACTGCAGTATGACTGTTCAGTGCACAGGAAACTGGTGCATAGAAAAACAGAGATGTGCATACACATACAATTTCCCATTTAAAATCAATATTGGATCCCCTGTTATTAAATCTGAGTATCAAAATACACTCAAGGCACGTTTCAGTAATGCCAAGCAGCAAAATTGTTCACAGGGTGCAATGAAACCACTAGGAACATCACTAGTATTGATTAATGCAATATGAGTGAGGGCAGAAATTAAGCTGGGGATAGGGGTCTCCATTAAAAATGTTTATTGCTAAGTGCTCATGTATCACTTCAGTTCCTCTGCAGAGCTGAAAAAAAACCAAACCCATTATAACCTTCTTCAGGGAAAAAGAAAGACATTTAACTGACATATTCGTCAGAGAAATTTTGCTTGCTTTCTTTACTCCAATCTTATTTAGGGTGCTAAGAGTGCTAATAAAACCTGAGAGAAGTACCAGTTTGGGAAAACAGTTAACTACATGCTTAACACAAAGCAACACTTTTAGCAAAATATATGCTTTTTTTAGTCAGCTCTGTTCTGGATTCAGTGGCCTGAATCTCAGATTGGGAAAATCAGATCTGTTACGATATTTGAAGCTGGATACATAAAAACCTGTGCTGCTCCACCACCAGTACTCTCCCTACCTGACTAAATTCATTAACTTACCCAGCAGCTCCACCAGGTTGTAATCAATTCAGGAAAACATCCTGTAATGAAAAACAGAGAAAGTATTGATACCATCCACTCACCCTGGCATTCTCCATGCTTGACAGCAACTACAGAGTCTGATTGTCTGGCAGAGTTTTCAGAATTACCCACTTAGTCCTGCATTACACTGGGTATCTACAGCTGCTCCAAGATACCATCTCTTTCACCTGCTGTTCCAGGCTCATCCAAACTAAAAACTCAGATCTGAGCCCAAAATTTTGTGACAGTTAAATATTAGTAGAACTAAGATGGGACTCCACTTCATAAAAAGCAAAATACGGGCAAAATACCCATTGAGTTGTATCTGCTTTGTAACAAACCCTGCTATGTTTGCCTTTGCTTTTCTACCCCTGAGCCAGAGGGAGGGACAAGATCTGGAAAGAATGTTGGTGAACCTTTCTCAGAACCCAGTGAGATCTGGATTTGGTTCCTTATTCCCATAGAGACCTTTGAGTCTAAACACAGGGATTAGTTTCTCTTTAGTGATTTCTACTTCCCTTTTGCGTTAAGTTTTGTCTGAGGATTGTTCTAAGTTGCATGGAATGGCTTGATGGGCCTGGGAAGAAGGGAATCGCATGTAGCTCAATCTATGGAATTACAATTTCTGAAGAGAAACTTCTGGATAATTATCAGATAATAGAGCTAGCAGGATACTATTGGCACAATACATATGTGAAGAATTTAAGACTATCCAGAAAAACCTCCCTGTGCCCTTGCACTGCTCAGCATTCATTGATGTAGTGGCACGGTCCCTACTTGTGTCTCACTGATTAAAAACTTCCATTGTGCTGCCACCAAAGGAAAACTGTAAACAGTTCTATGTGGATTCCTGTGTCCACCTCTGAAAGGCATATCAAAATCTGCACCACTTTGACCTATACTCATCCATAACCCAAGAAAACAAGAGATCAGTTAAACCAGTACAGGGAAACTCAGAAACTTGCCAGTGCAACAGTTAATCTGCACACTGCTGATTACCTATCTTTATCCAACTCAGATGAAAGGTTTGCCATCTGGTAAGGGTCTTGGCTCACATACAGCAGATGTATTCAGTCCAAAGCCAGTAACATTAACTGCAGTTCCAGTAACATTAACTCACAGTTCTAACATGTGCACACACACAAATCAGGGTGCAATATTTTTTTTTAATTATTATTTTTCACATCCCTGAAAACAAAATAATCTCTTTACATGCCTTTATTTGTTACTGTGTTAACTGACTCAGTACATAAGTACCAGGACACAGTCAGTCCACAGATACTGCCTGATGCTAATGCATGAGCCCCCAGAGCTTGCAGAAGTATGGCAGAGGGAGGAACAGCTAAAAAGCTGGAAAAACAGCAAAGGAAGCAGAGTATGTGTGAGTGAGTGAAAGCAAGAGAAAAATCCACAGTTGGGCCAGAATTCTGCTTGCCAAAAACAAGCTAAGAGATCTATTTCCAAATGAAATGAGTCAAACCAGGGAAACAAAAATAATAATGCTGTGTGCAACTTAAAGCAGCAGCTGCTATCTGAGACGAAACACGAGATGAGTTAGAAGACACAGAAGATTAGTCTTTTCTAGTCTTCAAATTATTATGTTTGTCAAGCTTTTGGCTCAAAAATGTTTGACCTAATCACATCTGTTTTAACAACTTAAATGAGAGGCCCAGCAGCTGTAGCTGGCAAAAGAATCTCCAAATCTGCAGACTCCATTTTCCAATATTTGGGCTCTTGTCTGAACTATCTAGGGATAACATAAACTCTGCACCCTAAAAGTACCTGCGCTGTGCATAACCACTTACAGACTGAGATGCTGCAGCCATCCTGCAAACAGGCCTGCTTCTAAATTCAGCTGTTCCTTGGCTTAGACTCTGGAAAAGGAAACCCATTACTCTGCTGAATGTAAATTTATTTCATATTCTTGCAAACAATCAACTAATGCCTCTTTATCTACACCCAGATACAAAGGCAAACAATGGGTGCTGAAGAGAAGTGAATGCTGACGAGGTAGAGGACAGAATACAAAGTCTTGCAAGTAATGTGAAGCCAATCTGGCTGAGACTCCAGTGAAAAGAGAAAAGGTGCTTTGCAGAAGGTTAAAACAGCTTACAGAGGATTTTTTTATTATTATTATACAAAAATATATATAACAAGTAAAAAACAAAAACCCTATTAATATGGTTACATGAAAATGAACTGGCTGGATGATCTAAGCTAGTTTTTTTTTTTGTGCCCCTGTAACCTGCTGAGTTTTGTTTAGTGAGAATTTCCTGTCTGTCTAATTTTCATTGGCACATCAAGTTTCTTGCAGTGCCTGATTCTTTTTCAACATCTGCTGCTCAGTTTGACAGTATTAATTTTGGATTTCTCCCCAGATCAGATCAGTTGAATATTGTAGTGAATGCTGGCAAAAGATCGAAGTTATCTCTCTTTTCTCCTCTCCTTAATGAAAAAATGTTTTCTTGAGATTCATAATCATTGCTATTACTCTGATACTGAAAATCATAGAATAGAGAACTATTACATATACAAATAGAGATAGGTTTTTTTCTCCCAACAAAATTCTCTCCACCTGTCTATATATTCAGTTTACTATTCATTGCTGCTGTATCCACAATCCTCTAAGCATACATGTTGAAAATGTTCAAGTGTGCAAATGCCGAAACATTAATCTATAAGCACTACCAAAGTAGGGGGGTTTGGATGGGGCATAAACTTAACACTTGTCATACATGTTATGATGGACTGCAAGTTTTGCATATCCAGAGTCACAGAACACTAAACAAGGAACATATATACCAGTATACTGTTTGCAGGGCTTTTGTTATAGTTATTGTCACAAGTGGGTGCTCTACCCCATTAACAGTATCTCAGATATGGTCCCTACCCCAAAGAGCATACAATCTGTGTCTAAGGAAAGAGTTGAGGTGGTGTCAGGCAGAGTGAAGGCAGATATTCAGGAAGCAGTATTTATCAGGATGATCAGTGACAGCATCATACACTAAGAACATGATTTTATCTTATTATACACTAAGAACATGATTTTATCTTTGTATAGATGATGGCAATTTAGGTATTTGAGCAGAACAATGAAGCAGCTCTGTGAAATGCTTTTGACCATGTAACGTGCATGAAAAGAACAGAAAGAAGCACACTGGGTAAGTAAAGAAGAAGGGGTGAACCACCACAAGCCAGCCTGTAAAAGGAAGCAAGAGGTGCTGGAAGTGAATGCAAACTGTTCTGGATGTGTTAGTAGAAGGAAGTTAGTCAAGTAGTTCTAAATAAAACAGAGTGCCTTCATTTATTTGGTGTAAATGAGATACAAGGGAATTCTTTGCTGCCCAAACTAAACTCCACTGCCTGCATTTGTCTTGTAAGGATACAGGTAAAGCAACAAGCTAGGAAAATAGTGTTGGCACCAATGTACTAGATGGATATGGACAGAGCAAAATCCATTTGCAATGCCTATTAAAAGGATACTTCAGGATGTAAGATGAACAGTCTCTGGATGAGCATTTTAGCTGTGTGTGTAGGATTATATCTAAGATTAAAACAAACAAACAAACAAAAATTCCCAGCCAACACCGCACGATTTAGATGTGACTGTGAAGAGAAAGCATTACAAGACAAGTATGATACTCCAACTGGCCTAAGTAATGAGCAGGATTGCAGTGTTGTCCCTAGTGATTGAAGAAGGATGTGACAGGGAGGCAGCTTGGAGAGAAAGATTAAAAGCTCTCTTTTAGTCCCCTTCAGTTCAAGCTGATGGCCAGACAACCACAAGGCAATGCTAAGAAGACAGAACAATTTTATTTTGAGCAGAATGAGACAGGTCTGGAATACAGAGATAAAGCTGTGAGTTCTCTATGGAGAGATGGCAAATTTAGATTAGGTTTAGAAGGGTGTCATCATTTAACCCCAGCCAGCAATTAAGCACCACCCAGCCACTCGCTCACTCCCACCAAGTGGGATGGGGAAGAGAATTGGAAGGGTAAAAATAAGAAAACTCGTGGGATGAGACAAAGACAGTTTAATAGGTAAAGAAAAAGCTGCGCACACAAGCAAAGCAAAACAAGGAATTCATTCTCCACTTCCCATTGTCAGGCAGGTGTTCAGCTATCTACAGGGAAGCAGGGCTCCATCATGTGTAATGATTTCTTGGGAAGACAAATGCCATCACTCTGAAAATCCCCCTTCCTTCTTCCCAGCTTTATATACTGAGCATGATTTTATATGATGTAGAGCATTCCTTGGGTCAGTTGAGGTCAGCTGTCCCATCTGCATCCCCTCCCAGCTTCTTGTGTACACCCAGCCTGTGGGGCGGGGTGAGAAGCAGAGAAAGCCTTGACTGTGTAAGCACTGCTCAACAGTAACTAAAACTTCCCTGTTATCAACACTGTTCTCAGCATATATCCAAAACATAGCCCAGTACCACCTACTATGAAGAAAATTAACTCCAGCCCAGCCAAAACCAACACAAACGATTAAATAGCTTATGCACAAATACGTTAGAAATATCTGCAAGTGATAAGGAGAGGCTCTTTACATGTAAGTGTACCATGGATAAATGCAGACACAATTAATTTACCTCCCTCCCCTCAAATCTAGGACCTACATAACTGCATATGCATTTTACATCTTTATGCCCTTATTCAAAGCATTGTTGATGCTGCCACATTTTATAAACAGGAAACAAAATATAGCTGCAGCTTGATGTAGGTATCTGGTATCCTGGTGTGAGGTTCTTAAAATAAATCAAGCTGATCTGAAATATTATCTCTTCACAGACTAGAAAACCCTGATTAGCATAGAGGCTGATCTTTGCTCTCACTTGTGATCAAACAAATAATAGATATCCATCAAGCTGTTCTTCCTCCAGGTACTGAAAAAGAATTATTTTGGTTTCTAAATATATGGGAGGTGTTCAGAAAGTGTTAGTCAGAGAGATCTGACAACTATCGGCTGGTTGTGGGAAATTTACTGCCTGCATTTCGGTATTAGCAAGATCTGTCATTTA